CCCCCCCCCCCCCCCTTCCCCCCCCCCCCCCGTAGATTTGTTTATAGAGGGACAGTGGCCAAAACCCCAAAGCTGTTGCTCTTAGTGCCTGACCAAACCTTTGCTTGTTAGTTTGTAGTGTTAGATAGTGTTCTGGCTTATGATTAAAGAGCTCTCTCTAATTGTATGTTTCAGGAAATGGAAGATAAGGTGATCAGTCCAGAAAAGGCTGAAGAAGCAAAGTTGAAAGCAAGATATCCTCATCTGGGTCAAAAGCCTGGGGGCTCAGATTTTTTGAGGAAGAGGCTTCAAAAAGGGGTGAGTTTGTGGTTTTTTTAAATTGAGTAAATGATGTAATTTCAATGGTACCCAAAAGCATATATATCTAAATTGTCTTTTTCTGTGGTGGTTTTCATCATAGTCATGCAGCTTCTGCATGCATTTCTATAAAAGGTTGCTTGTAGGACCAAGATACAGTGCTGTAAACTTCTCTCTTTGGATGAAACTATGATTGTAAGTTCTTTAGTTAACCCTTTACGCGTCAGCACTAAGAACCAGGGAAAATACATGTCTATGAAACAAATAGCAATAATTTGATATTATAACTGAGCACAGCTTCAAGGACTCATCTAAATCTTTTTGAAACACAATTTAAAAGTTTTGACCCATTACTCCCAAGACAAAGTTCCTGAAGGCTTACCGCCAAGGAATAAAGTCTCATTTTTGTACTTATTTTGCCTATTTTTATGCTACCCTTTCCTTTTAGGATTGTCAAAATTAGTGGCTGCAGATGTGTACCCAATTTCTTAGTACATGAAGGCCATAATGCATTGTAAAATTCATGCCAACCTCCCACTGGTGTTTGTGGATTAAGAATGATATTGTAGCTTAAATTTATATTCTGACTAGAGAGCACTGATCTGATAGCTAGAGGATAGGGGGCCACCGATAGAGAGAGCCGATTTTTAAGGAGGCATATTGGCAGATACCGATCCAATTTCCGATATCCAACCTGGCAGCATGAAAAGCCGCCTCCAGCTGGTAAGTCTGGTGTGGTGGAAGGGGCATTGGGGGAGCAGATCAAGGCCTCTGTGGTGAGGGAGGTGTGGGGCTGACACAAATACTGCCCAGCCAAGACAGGGTGGGCATGGGATAGAGCCCCCCAGCTCATCCAGGGGAGAGCTGGGGCAGCTCCCGGCGCTGTGTGCTGTTTGTCAGGGAGTCACTGGTCTGGCAGCTCAGTGCTCAGCTGCTCCCGCCGCTTGTCCAGGAGGACATGTGCCCCTGGATCTGCATGGTGTGGGCCGCGGCCAGGGCTGCGCAAAGTTCTTCCTGACAGGATGGGCTGCTCTGGGAAGGGGCTACAGCAAACTTGTGGCTGCAACTGTGCCCCCTTCCCAGCACAGGCCCAACCCGGTGGGAAGAGCTTGGCGCAGCCCTGGCCCCTGCCTGGCCCACCCCACGCAGATCAGGGGGCACACTCCCCTCCCCTGCCCTCCCAGATGAGTGGCAGAGAGCTGGCAGACCACTGGCTCCTGGACTAACGGTGCACAGCGAGGGAGCTGCCCTCACCCTCCCTGTGCCCCCCAGACAAGGCATGGCAGTGTCCTGCGCCCACCCTGCCACAGCTGGGCAGCGCTTGCCCCAGCCCCATGCCTCCCTGACCATGGGGGCCTTGATCTGCCGCCTCCCCCCCCCCCCCCCCCCCCCCCC